ACGAATTTCATTACACTTCTATGTAAAGCTATCTTCCTGTTATCGCTTTTGCAGCGAAAAAATTATCCTATCATGTTAACATTACAACGTCTCAAAATTAATTTACGCTAAGGCCGACCACACACGTTCAAGTAAACTTGCACAGGTATGCTTGCGCGAACCACTTGTGCAAGTTTACTTGAACGTGTGCGACCGGCCTAAGGAACTATGTTTTGATGCAGACATTAACACACCCTTGCCGCTCGCAAGGATAGCAACGTTGGCAACTTTATGAATGCGAATTACTTAACTCTTAATTAAGTAGCAATTAATATTTTCTTATAAATACCGTTTCTAAAATGTGACATTTGACTTGACTTTGTGTGAAGTTTGCATAATTCCACATTTTCATTCAGTTCAAAACTGAGCAAAATCCTACGTACACAAAAATCATTTACAAATATACAAAATTGATGAATTGCGAAATCGACGATAAATCCTATTTTGACTGAAAGCGATTTATCGCCGTAATTTTAGTAACTGCTGTTTGCCATTAAACCCCACAATAATTATATTTACACTATTTAGTTATATATTTCTTCGAGTTAACTTCTTGATTTGATTTTATCGTATAAATTCGTACTAAGCCATAGTTTTCTTAGCGATATAAATATTTTCAATCGCGCAATTTCCAATCTCTGTTTTTCATATACGTATAATATACAAAATTTATTTCGCGACCGTAACTTTTCGTTCTGTCTTGTAAATACTGCAACGATTATTAAGAATTCATGAGAAAATACTGTTTAACTTCTTTTCTGCATTTGCTCCCAAAATATTATGTTCGATTTGAGCTTGCCGGGTGAGATCACGGCGATGTCGTTGCTCTCTTGTTTCGATCGCACGATTTCTGTTCGATTTGTAGGTCGCTCTTCTATTAATGACCGACTGACTGGTAGCGACGTCAGTTTTCCGGGCATTTGACGTAAACCCTCCCGAAATTCCCTCGAAAGAGATCTGGCTGTCAAACTGTGCATCTGCCTGGGCGTTTCAACTATCTGTACTTCAGGAGTGGCCGATCTATCCTTGGCATCATCTACTTTCGCCACCTGCGAGACAGAGAATCGATTTGATCCAATATACAAATTGTACTGATGTATGACGCCTATTTTTAAAAATGCTCTATATTAATTCTAAAACTTCTGATGCTAAAAATAGAAATATTCATAAATATTTGTATCATGAATAATATTATTCAAATAAATATTATTAATCTGTCAAATATATGACGTTATAATTTTTGGGAGTGTACTATAATTTAGTTTAATTATTTACTGTGACTGACAAATTTATGCAATAAATTAAATATTCAGAGCAAGAGTGAAGTCTACAGGTTATAGTTCATAAGTCTTTTTCATTTGAATTTGTAGTCATTCAAATTTTGAAAATTCTGGTAAATATTTTACTTGTAGACATTTACTACTCATTTTTCTGTTTCTAAATAAATTCATCTATTTAGTTATTTGTCTATGTATATCTTTTATTTTTATAAATTATGGATGCATATCATTCTTGCTCCGAACAAAAGCATCGAAATTCGATATCGATCCGAGACTAAACTGAAATCTAACTGAAATGGGTATTTCGTTAATTACCAAAGCTCTGTATACTTTCGCGGGCACGGCAGTCTTTTCGGAAGTCTGTCGCTTGCCAAACGCTTCCGCGAGTCTTTTCACTGAGGGCATCATCTGCAATTCTTCATTCGTCTCCCGAGACTGAGCCTTGGTCATAATATATATATCCTCGAAAGATCTTTCGACGTCGGACGAGATTTCATCGTAATCGTTTAGCAGTGAAATGTCATCCTCAATGATCACCTCGCGTTCCTTCACGAGATCCAGTAGATTTATGGCGGTCAGTTCATCCTGTGCGTCGTTCACGTAAACCGGATTCGCATGATAGCATACGTCTTCAGCGACATTTGGCATCGATTTGGCGGATATTAGCTGCGAATTTACCTCCTCGACTTCGTCCCGCAGCTCGTTGAGTCCCCTTGAACTCCTTGCGAAATCCTTGCAGCCGAATGATCTCGGCGTGTCGATCAGATATTCTTTATATTCATGTTTAGTCAGATTTGATTTGTCGTTGTTCCGCATCGGTTGGTCCAATTGATTATTGGAGTGAGCGCGACGCAGGCCGTTTTGATAACCGAAAGAGCTCAGGTCCAGTCTATTCACCATTCTTTGTTGGCGGATTTGTTGAGACTTCTTATCCGAAAACTCATTCTCGAAACCGTACGCTTTCAAGTCGATCTTCCGAACTTTTCGCTCCTTATCATTCTTGTGTTCATCCTCAATACTTTGCTCCTGATTATTAAGCTTGGCATTAATCTCATTTTTGTTGTTTTTTCTCTGATTCTCCAGAATGTCGTCCGTTTGTTGGCGGTCCTTGCATGTCGTTTCATCAGGCGTGTCTTTCTCGCTTTTGACTTTCTGACAATCGACGGGAGTACGCGAATTTATGGCGTAATTATTCGTTTCGAAACTAATTATTTCGACGTTGTTCTGGCACCATGAGGCCGGCATCATATCTTTGTCTTCTTGCAGGATCGAAATACTATCGTCGGTCTCTTTAGACATAGGTAGTCGTTCTTCCTGGAACATATGAAGAATCGACTGATGTTACCGATCTAATGTAGGATTCATTCGAAAACTGCGTAATTTGTGTTGTATGTTGAATGTTTGTTATTCTTTTTTTTTTACTTTCTCTTGCATGCTGCAAGTTACAAAATTCCTGTTCCTTTTCCTTTTACCTTTCTTTTTCTCTCTTGTGAAACTATCATACGATTAATATTATTGTCTGTAATATTTGTAATATTTTTAATATAAATGACAATATTCTTAACATAAATTTAATATTTAACGCTATAATAATATTAATAGTGATATCGTAAGTAAAAATTTTTTTAATATTATGGTTAGTACGATTTTTACATGATCTGTAATATTATCGATTTTGAAAGAAGTAAATGACAATAATTATTAATCATATGGACACTTTTTTGCTCAATACATACCAGTCGCGATTTTATTAACGGATGAAATTTTTTCTGTTCTTTTTTGTATTTAAGATCAAGTTTAAATTCTCGATATTAATATGGAATATGTAAATTGTACGCAAATATGTAAATTTTGATGAAAAAATTTTCGAACTTGAGTGTTAGAGAAGAGTATAACAATTTACGCGCTACATTAGAGAATATCGAAGTTTTAGACATTTCTTATTTACATAAAAAATTTAGAAGAATAGCAGCATGGACTAATATGTTTTAAGCATACTCATGCATTTGCTTTTGCAAATTAAGAATAAGCTGTTTCTATTAATACGTTCAAAAAACCTTTTTATTAATGTATTATGTAATCTTTATACGTTGTAAATTAATATTATGCAATATTATTTGTTAATATGATTATATATAAGTAGCATTCATCTATCATGATTAATACTGCAGTGAAGCATTATTTTTGATGGTGAAACTTATGAATAATGTATAAAATATGTTAGTACGGATTAATTACGGATTATTACTTCTAACTTTTTAGTTTTAAAGAATATTTATTAAATACATAAAATTTTACAAATAATATGAATAATGTACATATTAATTGCTGTATGATTATTGGGGTTTAGGAGGGTATGGCAACAAAAAATTGCGAAAAATATTAGGATTTACATTTCGAGCGTATATATATATAAATACGATTATTTGTTAGTCATTACATACGCTGTATATAGGTGGTACTTACCGATTAAAATATTCTCTTTCGTAGTTCGTAATTGCGGAATCGATTCCATTGTGTTAACGCGAGTAGTATACGAGATACATCGAGAATGTGTAGATGCAAATTAGATCGCATTCTATGTGCAATTTGTGCAAGTGTGATGCGTGCATTTCCAGTAGTAAATAACTCGGATTGTCAGTTGAAGATGTCTTGGATTTACATCTTTACTTTAAAAATGTACAGCAATGAAATTTGTATATGCGTCATAGTTAATGCTTGCGGACAAACTCGATTTTTTTCTTTCGAAACATTTTTTAACAAGTGTCTTCAATTGCATGAAAACTATACAATGCAGAATACAAAGACGTAAATCTATTTCGTACAATAATCTATTCGTTTGATAATGTTGAAGTATGGTATTAATATTGTAATACATAATTATCATTTACATTACAACTTCTGAGGCAATGAAGTTGGTTAGGTTTTATAACACAATTTTCTAAAATAATTCATTCACGTCGATAATCGTGATTTTTCATTACATTGAAAAAATGAAAATATAATTTAAATCTCGTGTTATATCTTTAAATATATGCGAGAAAAAATGAAAAGAAAATTAAAGACATATGTAATAATATACTATAAATAATGTGCAATTTAAATATTTTTTAATATTTGATACTAAAGGAATCTAAAATAGAATCATACAATTTGTGAATTGCTGCGCAATAATTCTTATATGTTATTAATATCAAGTAGTAACCATCACCTGTATGTTGCATGCAAAGGATATAAATTTTTGACTGCTCAATTAAATTAATTTAATAGTTGAGATTTTCAATTCAATATGAGATATATACATATACAGAATTGTCCGTGTTAGATAAATGTCTTATTTTCTAGGATTTCAACTATTTTGTATCTATTTAACTATCAAATACAATTTTCATGAAAAAATCTGGAATCATATATATATATATATATATATATATATATAGATAGATATTTTTTTCACAAGTAATATTTAAGTAAGTAGATAATTATATATATATTCTTTAAATATCTTTTAATGAGATTATTTTGTGTAATATTTTTTATGTTTGAACGGGTAATGTAAATATTAATTCTGATTATTAAGTTAATTATTACAAATTTATATTAGTTTTGCGTTAATAATTAGGAATTATATTAGTTTATCGTTTTAAATTAAGAATTATCTATAAACATAATAATAAAAAATGAACATCTAAATAAGAAATCTGTTTAGGAGCGGAAGGTCGGCATATCGTGATGAAAGCTCAGATTTTTATACACCCGTATTTATTAGCCACTTGCAACTATTATAAATATGCACTTTCAATCGTTAATCCTGTATATAACATAATAAATTAGCGCATTGCGCCATGATATTCTTATCTCAAAGAATATAGCCACGGAGCGATACGATATTGGCACGAATGCATTCGCATTTTCTCAGGTACATTATAACATCAAAAAAAAATATACATCAACCACATATAATATTATAACTATAAATTATTCTTAATAATTTTTTTACAATCGTTAGCTGGATCCACCAATTATCGCACTGCAGCTCGCATTCTGAATTTCTAAGATTCGCATTGTTTCGAAGTAGAATCTCATAATTTCTTCATTTGAGTTTTGATACAATGGATTCCATAATAACCAATTCATTTTGAAGTGTATTGTCCCCCAACTTTTCTCATCAATCGTGATAAGAATTTTACAAAAATAAAATAAGAATTTGTTTTGAGATATAATATGGCAAAGACATCCTAAGATTATTTCAGTTGAAGTATATAACTCTATACTTCTCACGATACTTCTTTATGGCAATAACGTCATGATTATTAATATCGTGTACATTCTTTCATTTCGAGACATCGATTTTTATTTCATTTTGAAGTCAGCCTTTCTCTTTATCATCACCATATCGTGATGTCACTCAAACTTCTCACATACAACTTCTTGCATTGTGTTTTATTATGATCATTTTCTTCTTTTTGAGATTCCTTTGAATTTTTTAGATCTCTTTTAGTATTTCTGTTTATCGATTTCTCTAACTTTTCGCTGTTATCGTTTTCAAGAATTTCTCGACGCCTTCCAGATCTTTCTCTTCCTCGCGCTACGATATTGTCATTGTTGAATACGCTCGCTTTCCGCCTCCTCGAGACATCCTTTAGGAACTTGTTCATTATAATTTCGTCGGAAACACAATCGATCTCATCCTGCCACTCATCGTCCTCATTCGGCAAGGACCAGAGGGGAGACGAATTTATGTTCTTACGAATCAAAGTCTTGCGTTTTGTCATGGAGTTAGTTCTGGAAGTGCTTGTCCGATTTCTACTGCGTCCAATTTGTGGGTATCCCACGGATATCCGATTATTCGTGATGTCATTTTTCTCATCCTGCCAGTCGCTCTCTTCGAAAGTGGAGCTCGTCGAGTGCTCAAAACTAGCGAATCCTTCCAAACTTACGGAACGATTCCAATTTGTTGGCTGATCGCAATTTCCTGAGAAATTAGAATACAATTTGAGATTCATCGATCCTTCTTTCTTAATAAGATCGCAACCGGGAACGACAGATGTAACTTCTGGCAGGATCGGCCTCAATCGGATCCTTCTGTAGTTCGGAATTCTTCTACTGTCGATCTTCCTGCTTCTCTTAATTCCGCCAAAGGTTTGAAACTTCAATTTTGCAAATTCCGGACTGCGATCCTCGAACGGATCCTCCGGGGAGGTAGATTCATCTTCGAGGTCGTCGTCGGGATTCTCCGCTTTCTTCGGTCGGATCCTGATGCCACCGAATGTGTGGTACTTGTATCCGCCGGTGGTCCAAAATCTCCTGCCGCCGACCGAAGATATTTGCCCACTACCATGGGGATTATCCGTCGACCGAAACAACTGTCGCCAGCGATCGCGTTCGCTGCTCTCCGAGTCGCGAGATCCGATGGAGCACATTCCGGAGTCGTGATCGTCTCGATCGCCCGGCGATTCTGCACGAATATCGTACCGCGGTACTATCGGTTCCTCGCTTTGGTGATTGTCCCAAGATCGATTCCAGTTCATCGATACTGATTTCGGAGAGTTGACCTTCAGGCTCTGCGCCAGGACGTAGCTGTCCTCTTCAAAAATAGCTCCTACATTCGACTCCTCGAAATTCTTAGATCCTCGATCATCCCTCGCGTCTCCTTTCTTGCCTTCTTTTTTTTCGGGGCATATTATTCGAACATCGTTTCCTACGAGAGTCTCGACTCGCTCGCCGTCATCGTGGTGCAATTGATCGCTCGCGGACTCCAGATGTAAGAGAGGGTTGATCGCGAAGTGTGGACTGGCGAGGGGATCGCGGCAGCATCGTCTAGGAATACTGTCGCGCAGCGAAGCTGCCTCAAATTGCTTGAGCTCGTCATGACTCACCTGTCGTTCGTGTTGTTCATCGTCGGCGCAGCTCGATTGCTGGGACAGCGAGCTGCTGGGTCTACTCGACATCGAGGACATCGCCGATCTGGTCCGTTCTTGTCGTTCTCCACTGGCTACCTTCGATTGGTTGATATAGTAATCCCTGCCGAATCTATACAGAAAAATTGGATCATTAGTATCACGGAGCTTTATAATGGAAAATGATCGTACAGAAAGAAAAAATTTTATTAATTTAATAAGCCACCAGTATCTGTAACAATTTGATTTATAAATATAGTGACAACAAATGTGTTAGTATGGCAAAATGAATGATTTATTATTTTTGATTTCTTGTTAGATAATTCTTCTATATCATGGAGACTAATGCTAGTCGTTATATTTGTTGTTTCTGACATTGTAAGTTATACTAGCAGTATATTATTTATATTTTATACTTACAATAAATATACTTGAATATACTTGTGATTTGTATCGCTGTATTGTTTGTTACATCGATGAATAATGAAAAATGATTCGCAACCGTAACTTATCAATCTGTTTTCCCACCAAATCATCACGTAACAAGTTATTTTTTGCTCTAACAAACTCATTTCTCTCCATGTAATTCTTTTTTTTATGTCTGTTTTTCGTATAAATTGATATTTTAAGTAAACTTTAGCAAAAACTTTAATGTAAAAATGTTAGTAAAAGAAATTAATTCGCTTGATTTTTTAATATAGCGTTTAATTATTTCTCTTATATAGCTTTCAGAAAAATTAACAAAAGTTACCGTTTGATGTCCGGTCGACCAGGTGTCAGTGTCTCCAGACTCACTTCGTTCAGTTTTGTTAACTCGTAATGGGCTCTGAACAAAGTAAAAAATCGAGCTGAGAGCTTCGTGTCTACAGTGATATTCGCAAAATTTTTTATGTAATTTCTCTTACCCTGAAATATCCGAATTTCTCGAATATTGTCTTTCCAAACATCGCTTTCGTATGCTCTCCTCGCTGTAGGGATTGTTTTCGATCGGTGGAGCGTTTTCCCATTTTTTGTGCTCGCGTTCCGCTATTGTGCCTGTCCGATACATTTATTCACCGTCATATTGGCAATGTGCTCATCATGATATGTATGCATGACACTGCATGAATATTTCATTACATATTCATGAATCTTCTCGTGTTTTATTATATTGAAAATTTTTTTAAGAGGCGTTTATTAAGATTTTTTGCTTTTTATACTTCAAAGAAATAGATTTAAACGCTATCGTTATCTTCTACTTTATATAACATAATTCTTTGAAGTCATACAATTTTTTCTCGGAATCTCGCATATTCGATTACATGTTACGTAATAATTTCTATATGTTTATCATGTTCTTTATATAAAATTTATATTTAATATTAATAAATTATTTTATATATCAGAAAGCTAAAATAAAATTTCTGTTTTGTTCCTTTTTACAAATTCAAGAATGTAAGAGATTATTGCTTATGGTGCATATAGATTCATCGCAAATAGTAAAGTTACCTGGTCGTGGAGGGGTGCTTAATGGATCATTTTCACTTATCATGTCGACGTGATTCTTGTCGATTGTTGCATAAGACAATTGGTGGACTTCGGCTTCTGAATGTTCACTGCATAAAATCGAAAAAGAATTATGAAAGATACACACCGTGCCTCTGCGCCGCAAAACTATGAAAAGAATTATATGAAACTCAGGATATGATACTCGCCATGTATAATACCGAGTTGCATACGAAACTGAAACTGTTATTATCGCTTACTACGCGTTTCTTTTGAAACCTTCGTTTCATTTATATAATCTTGGCCAAAAATATTAGGCACCTTATTAACCATTTAAGTTTTAGCTAAAAAAAATTGATTTATGGCATTTGCTGTCAATTATCCTTTGTTTTAAGAACTCAACTTATAATAATAGATAACAATATAGGTAAAAAATTTAAGATAAACGAAGAAAATATAAGTACTTAATATATTTGATTAATGCTATATTTATTATCTATCCTTGCAAACATAAAAATTCAAAAAAGAAAATTTAAAGAATAGAAATCAGGTAAATATAAATTTAAATAATACCTTTCATATATATATATATACAATATACATACATATATATAAATTCAACAATAGTAAGTGAAAATTAACCGAAAAATATTCAACACAAGTAAGCAAAGAAGATATTCAAATTAGATGTGCCTAATAATATTTTTGTGTGAATCTTGTAATTGTTAGTTAAAATAAGTTTAAAAAACATAAACTGTAATTTTATTCTTTTACTTTATTTATTAGAAGAAAAGAGAGAAATATTTCGAGACTTCTACCTTTTTGGTTGTTCGATTGAATTGGTCTCTGATTTTCTAAGCTGTTCATCCGTCATTTTTCTCGTTCCATCGATTGCCTCGCTCTCTCCAGAGCAAACTTCAATCTTCGTTAAACTGTCCAAATGTCTCTGGATCGCGGTGTCGTAATGTTCGGTATATTCGCTCTCTCGTTGTTCTTCATTTTCGTCCGCGACGTTTTCCCCTCGATAGCTCCTCTCACTCGATTTCTCAGATTTCATCTTTACTTCCTTTTGTATAGAACTTTCCACCGCGGTCGCGGTTATCTTTTTGCTGCATTCGACCGTATCTTTAGGCTTCTCTTTGGCTTCGTTATCTCCCTTTGCTACTGTTATCGACATAAACGAACTTTCATTTCGTTTTTCTTTATCATCTTCACGTTTGGCTGTTTTCTTTTCTGAAGTCTTCAAGTGTTCCTCGTCATTTTTTTCATCGTAACTCTCGCAAGCAGTTGCATTCTTTTCAGTTTTCTTAATCACTTGACAGGTATCGATCTTGTCTTTTTCGAATTGCGTCTTGCTTGTTCCTTCCTGATGATTTTCTATCTGATCATTTGTCGCGTCACTTTCGGAGATCCTGGGAGTTCTCGGAATCACGTTGTTGATCGCCTCCATCAGTTCCTTTTCGATCTCTTCGTCAGATTTCGTAGAGGAACATTCGGATAAATCGGACGTGTCCTCAGCATCCCGATCGCCAATCAGAGCCTTGTAATATGCGTTAGAGCTCGGTACTAACATAGCAACCGCGTCTGGCTGCGATCGGGAGTTCCTCTTCTTCTGAAATAACCAATTATCCTCCCAAGACTCGATTGGCGAGACTATATCCATCGTGTGACCAGTGGCGTGACGTTTCGTCCTGACTGGCGGATATTCGTTGCGATTTAAATCTGAAGAATCTGACGATGATGACGGCGATGGCGAGGATAATTCTCGCGGAGCTATTATAAAAGACTTAGATAATTAATTATGTAACGTGCGATGTTACAAAGTTGTTTGCTTTATGTCGGAAGCAATTGCATAAAATATTTTATTTTTTACATTTTTTTAAAAGAGAAAAAAATATTGGAGAAGATTAGATAATTGTCTGAATATTGAAATATATTTTTAAATTAAGAGCGATTGTGAGTCAAACGAGATTTTAGTTAATTAATTTTGACATATTTATTGCATGATTCAACAGGATATTTTACTTATAGACGATTCTGCGTACTTTTTAAATATGTAAATGACATTTAAAGTGAAAGTCGAGATACTCACGGTCAATGATGTCCATCCCGTATTCTGGAAACGGTACGCGTCGGCTGCAACCGAATTCCAAGGCGCCGTTGTCTCGAAGTTCATCATCGTCCGACGTGATTGTGGTTACTTCCTCGATTCTTTCTTCCATCTGTAACAGGATTCAGTTCCCTCCCTTAGAGAGCATATGATATACAATTTATGTTTTATTATATTGATTATGCTGCGTTGAAGAATTTAAATTTGATATGCAAATTTCACGTTCATCTTTCATTGCACTTGATTCTGTACTGCGATATGCGAGAATATATAAGTGTGATTGTAATCGGCATCCGTACCGTAAAGGACACCGGTTTATGATGATCTTCATTCCTCCTGATCGACGCACTATGATCACCGTTGCACTCGAGATGGTCGGACGCGTAACTCGCCACATCTTCCTCAAGGCTATGCTTGCTGTCGTCTGAAAAAGGAGCATCATCTTCGTAAATATGACTTTTCCATGCTTCATGCGCGATAATACGTTAAGTAAATTGTACGTACTTGCGGTATATTTTGCTTTAGGCGAATTTGTATCGTGTAGAACGTTGCTGTTACCGTCAACTCGTTCTCTTTGATATTTTTCGATAACCTAAAATGCGCATAATAAATTCGATTTAATTAAAGATTTGTTTAATTTAAGCATAGCGCTTCTCATTAGTGAATGTGAATTTTTAATTAGTAACAAATTACAAATATAGAAATAATATATAACGCATACATTTTAATTTTTAATTATAGTTGATTAGAGTATGAATTTTAATTAATATTTCATGTAGAGAATATAGAAAGAAATTCTTCTCTTTATAATTAATTTAAAAATATATTTCTTACTATAAATATAAAATTTAATATGACATTTTTTAAATTTCATTTTCATTAATTTAAAATACTTCGACAATATTGTTTCATAATTAATTGAGGAGATCTTTCTTAGATTTTAACAACCATTCAAACAACCTTATTGAGTATCGCGGTGGCGAGGAGATCCTCATAACTATCATCCGTGACGGCGCGTTCTTCTTGAGGTTGCTCTGCGTCTTCGGATGCATTTAATCCTGGCAACTTCCGAGCTTCCTCGACGGCTTTCTCGACGATCTCTCTGAGCGCCGCATGCGCCATAGCTGGCGGATCCGTAGATGGTTTGTCTGGAATATTAAGTTGGAAAATTGTCGATATCAACGTTGCGGTGATTGATTATGAGAATATATTCTGTTGGTCATAGCATCTGCAATTATACTATGAGTGCGACGTAGAAGTACTTCTACGAGTCGTCAGTTGTACCGTTAAATTCAAATATTATATTTTTAACATTGCTATCCCCCCCCTCGCGTTCACCAACTCCTCTCTGATTATAATAAACTAAAATCTTAATGTCTATTTTTACCAATGTAGATTAACTTCAATCTCGGTTCAACTTACTTATATTTACAATTTATTTATATTTTTCTAATTTTTAGAACTAAAAAAATGAAGAGTAAGTAAACCACGATTGAATTTAATTTATTAATGGAACATAAGAATTTTTTTTTTATAATTATTAGACGCTTAAACGCGTACCGATTTCGATGAATTAACCGAAGGCTTCAGCCATGAGGCAATGAAGATCATGTTTTCCTCAATGTGTTTTATCCTTATAAGCTATATATATATATATATGTATATATATATATATATTCACATTATTGATATAAGACGTCCACAAGAATGTAAGACCACTTCTATTCGAGGACATGAAATTTTCATCTGATTAAGAAATCGCAATTTCTATAATCTTTTTTTAGAACTATTTTACATCGTGTTCTCTCACTGGTCCCCGAGTGTTATCGATACGCGATGGATTGGCGATTGCATGGATCGATCGTGGTATCCGCGGAGTGACTGTCGGACATTCTATCGTGAACGATCCAGCGCCTTGCGAACGGTTATAGTAAAACGGGGTATAGTATAAACGCGAGTTGCACCGCACTTTCTTTGGCATGATCGAGTCACGGCAAGAGATAACGGCGATACAGCCGGCCACTTCTCCGCGGTAATTTCTCCGACGCGACCTTGCTGCCGATGATGCATCCTTACGGCCACTCCTCTCGTCGACGACTCTCGCGACTTCATCCCGTCTCTCCGCTCCTTCTCTTTCTCTCTCTTCATCTTTTACGTATCTTGTCCGACGTGGATCGCGGTCGTCAGGTGAAATTTACCGACCTCCTGAACTCTTTCCGCGGGAAACTCGAGGTCCGTAATTTTTACTTCGTCTGATTTTCACCTGAGATTCTGGACGCCAACGGTGGTCTCAATTCTATAGGGTTCTAAATTACTTAAGCGTAATGTCTTAAAATTCAGAATTTTAGATTCTGCATATTTTTCGTATTATCTTAATCGATTTGAATGAAAATGTTAGGTGAATTTTAATTTACTTTTTAATTTAATAGTTGATCTTTAAAAGCAGAATATTTAGAAAATGTTTTCCTTAATTTTGAAAATTTGGCTTGAGAGATAAATATTTTCTTAATGCCATATATTGCAAAAAGATTTTATCTCGTAAAAACTTATATAGGAACTTTTCATCCGTAACTGAAAAAATTAATTCGAAAGAAATGTTTTATTTTTTCTCTAAATTTCTTGGAATGAAATTCCACTCCAAAAGAATGAAAATCTGTCACACTTAAAAGTGAAAATGTTTCATTCTTTTTCAATAGTGACAGTATTTTAATTCTTTTGGAGTAAGATTTCACTCTAAAAAATTTAGAGAGCTGCTTTTATCATTTCGAATGTCAAATATAATTGCTGAAATTTTTGAGTAAAGTTACACATGGTTTTTAAGAAAGTGCTAAATTCATGAAAAATTTTTGATCAAAATACATGGAAAATTTCCATTATCAATAAAATGTAAAAATAGCGATTTTTCTGTTTTCGAATGTGAACTTTTCAAGTTTCAGTGAGATAATCTTTTATTTATAAAAATTCATTGCAATATAATGTCAGGAATATTTTGTTGGAAAGATATACACATTTTCATTGCTCGCGAGATCTTGTATATAGATGGTTAATAATCCTCAAGCAACACTGGATTGTTTGCAAATAAACACATCGCGTGCGCGGACGTGTCCTCCTCTTTCTTTTTCTTCCTCCTTTCTCTTTCTTTTTCTTTCTCTTAGTATAACGCTCATGTTTCACACAGTCACTTCTTGCATACACATAATCGAGGATCTACCTTGTCGAGGACACATTCAGCCTTGATCTCACGCCGTAGAAGGTGAAGGCCGACTGCAGGTATTTTGCGCGCGATTCAACCGCCTTAAAACATTAGTATTATTAGCCGGCATGTTGAAGAAGTTTCTTCAGCAAGTTAAATTGCCTTCTCTCTCGACATCTATTAATGGCGATAAATCAGTAACACCGTCACCGGCCTTCCATCGATCTTTTGCTTTCCTCGTACGATTATATGGAACGACTTGTCGCGGTAGCGTGACATACAGCAATAATAATTGCGCATAATTAATCCGTGATAATCAAGTCTTCCTACTATGATCGATTAGATGGAAGAAAACATCTAAGAATTCTACGTTAATAATTTTGATTTATTATGCGTCAGTGATCTTGAAGGTTACGTTGACAAATTTTTTCCATATATAAATTGTATGTTAAATTATAATCACGTGAACGGATCGAGTCTTGCGACTCGAGGATCTGCATAAATTCTCTGTCCGACACATTATTTTGCCGGCTTACTGCGGGCTAATTCTCTCTGTGCAACTTTCCTCGCGTTATAATAGATTTAACTTCAACTAGGAATAATCGTAAAATAGCAAACGAAGTTTATTGTTTTATTTTACGAGCTTTGAATTTAAGAAAATTAAAAGGACTGCTTTCTCACGACGCAGCGTCAATTATTATGCTATTAGAATAATGCTCTGTACAACACAAATTTGGTTTACAGATAGAGATTTTCCCATTTATATGCGAATAATTTGGTAGTTAAAACCGCATCTGATGCGGTAACGAGTGTGCTTTATGTGGGAAACCCTGCCGGAGAAATTCTACGTTCATTCAATGCGACACCTTAATATAGCGCGCGCGCGAGAATCTTCCGCGTAAAAATCCGGATAACGGAAGTAGTAAAACCGTTGCACCAAGACATTTCCTCTTTTTCGTCTTCTGTCGATTGCTATGTTATAAATGGTCGATCACACTTGACGATCTCAAGATGAGGTTACTGGACCAGTTCTCTACGTGGAGAGAACGGCGATATCTCGCGAAAGGATTGCGAGTCGCGTGAACGACGACACGTTTTCATATGAAAATTTGGGACTACTAATATACAATAATTGAGAAACAAAAATTCGTTTGGAAGTGCCTCAGTGGGAATAACACGCAGTTTGAAAAAAGAAAGTGGAATATAATATGCTATTAAATAGAATATGTACATATATATGTATATATATGGAGAAGTGAAAAGTGTGGAATAATAATAATAAATATTAAATATCTCTTTCTCCTACAATTTTCATCATTTGCTATTTATTGCAGAAAATAAAGATACAGATAATTAAATGTGTAGAATAAATGCGATGTTTCTCTATTTACGACAATTTATGGAGAAGAGAAATAATGTGTTTCTTCCTAAATAGTTAATATTAAATTGCTTTACGTTTAGACGATAAAAAATTAATATAGGTATATTCTCCTTTATTACACTAATATATTATTCTATGATATACATGTACATATTTAATTTTTCGCTCTAAAAATAGTAATATAATTGATATACTACATGCGATAATGTTATATGTCAGGTTAATGTTTTCTTTATATTGCAAACCAGCGATGACCATTGCTATTAATCGTTTCTCTACGTGCGATTGCTTAGAGATAAGAAGATAAGAAATCGGAACTATTTGCGGCGGAAAGATCATAGTACATTAATACGACACATTTTCATTGCAATATTGATAAAACAATGTTACGACAGCAAAGATTGACCAAATATACATATATGATATGAGTAATTATTTTTGGTGTTGAATAATTCAATGAAGTTAGTTGTAATTTTTTATACTCATGAAAAAAATTATAATTAATTTCATTTAACTTTATTTTGATCATTTTTAATATTTTTAATTTTATATATACTAATTTTTTCTTTTTAAACCTATATTTATAAAACATAAGGCAGGAGATGGATAGGATTAAAATTTGGTTAAAACATATATGATAAAAGTTGTAGAAACTTATAGAATTTAAATTGAACAATGTCGTGGCTTGTTTCGAGCTTATAATTAGAATAACTTAAATTAATATAATTAACATAAAAATATAAATACTAAATAATATTCTAAATATGTTTATATTTTTATATTAATATATTAGGTGTTGAACTTAATTCCTGCCGCTTGCTTAATTTAAAATAATGTTCCACACCTTTAAAAAATCTAAAAAAAAATTTTTGTAATGTAATATACTAAAAAGTTTGATACACTTTTTAGCATATTACATTAGAAAAATTTTTTTTTTAATTTTTTAAAGGTGTGGAACATTATTTTAAATTAAGCAAGCGGCAGGAATTAAGTTCAATACCTAATATATTAATTTAAGTTATTCTAATTATAAGCTCGAAACAAACTACGACGTTGTTCAATTTAATTTTTTAAAATATACGAGCATTTTTTTTACTCTAATTTTATAAAATTTAGTAGAATATTCTGAGTATATTTGAAAGAAATAAACATTAGGTTTAGTACAGATATTTACCATTTTTCCTTGAAATCAGAATGTAGACGAAATAAACAACGATGAGGCCACCGATCAACGTCAACATCTCTTCAGCCGACTGCAGTTGCATTAACTGCACCTTTCACATTGTATTATCAGCTAATGCGGTTTCTCTGTCCCTCCTATTTTTTCTAAACCTTTTTGTCCGCGGCAATTTCTCGCTGAATTTTAGAACTGAGTCAGACACATTTATCACGTAGGCATATTATATATTTATCAACGAAATTGACGCGCGTTTACGTTAGACATTACTTCGCGAGTATGGTATCTTTGATAAGAATAATTAGACTGATCTTACCGAGTCACTCGCAATTTATAAATATTTCGAAAAATGTAAATTGCTTTGCCTTAATCTCTTGAAAAATATGACGATGTTCCC